CTCCACTAAGAGGGAGCACGATTACAAGAACAAGTGTCCTTTTTTCTAGAGTCACTACAACAAAAGTAACCTATGGTGACGAAAACTAGTGAAGAAAATAAAATTCGTCACTAATTAAAAATAATTCGTGAGGAATTTATTAATTTTGTCACATATAATAAAAAAATGAAAATGGTAGGTGACAAAATTTATTTTCGTCAATAAATACATCATTTTAAGTAAGGAAAAATTAAGTTTCGTCACCAAAAATTTTCCCGCTTTTTTTTTTTGGGGTGGCGCCAAAATTTTGGGACTTTTGGTGAGAAAAAAAATTTGTCACTAATTATAAAATTATTTATGAGGAATATATTTTCGTCACCAAAACATTTTAATATTTTTGATATCTTTTGGTGAGGAAATAATATTGTCACCAATTTTGGTGGAAAATTTTTGATATATTGAGCAACAATAAAAAAAAAAGGGTATTAATTTTTTTTACCCCTTTTCTCTCTCTCTCTCTCTCTCTCTCTCTCTCTCTCTCTCAAAATAGGGTATTAATTTGTCTTACCTCTCGCTCCTTCACTACGCCGATCGCCATCGTCGCCTCTATTAACCTTGCCGATCGTCGCCGCCACTAGTAGCCTTGCCAGTAGCCGCCACATCTTCTTCGCTTGGTGATTTGGTACGTGATTTCTCTTTGCTCTTTTTCTGGTGTCTCTTTCTCTTATTCTCTGCATTGGTATGGTGACGAAAATTAGTAAAGAAAACAAATTTCATCACTAAATAAGAATAATCCATGAGGAATTATAAATTTTGTCACGTATAATAAGAATATAAAAGTAATAGGTGACGAAATTTATTTCCGTCAATAAATACTTACTTTTAGGTGAGAAAAAAAAAATAAGTTTCGTCACCTAAATTTTTCCCACTAATTTTTTTTGATGGTGCCAAAATTTAAAAACTTTTGGTGAGAATTTTTTTTTCAACAATTAAAAAATTAATAATGAGGAATATATTTGTGTCACCAATAATTTTTTTTTTAAATTTGATTTTAAATATTTTAAGACTATTTGGTGAGAAATATATTTTCGTCACTAATAATTTTTAATATTTCTAGGCCTTTTAGTGAGAAAATTGTTTTGTCACTAATTTTGAAAGAAAAATTTTGGCATATTAAGCAGTGATGAAAAAAAATAGTCTATTATTTTTCCCTTTTTTGGGGGGGGGGGGATCAGTTTTCCTAAATTATTTTTCCATTTTTTTTTTGTTTTTTTTGGATTAGTCTTCTTATCAGTCTGTATCTCTATCTATCTCTCCCTCTCAAAACAAAACAAAATCAGTTTTCCTATCAATCTCTATCTCTCTCCCTCTCCCTCTCCCTCTCCCTCTCCCTCTCAAAACACAAGTGGTGTGTGTTCTTCTCCGGCGCCCCTTTAGTGTGTTCTTCTCCAGCGCCGCTGCCAACATCCCTGTTCTCCTCCTTCAGTGTCGCCACAGACGTCGTATCTCCTTTACTGCTGTGCGTTCTCTTCCATTAGGTATGGGTCCTCTTTCTCTCTCCCTCTCTCTCTCTCTCTCTCTCTCACTCAATTTCTCTATTTTTTTATCTCTATTTTCCCTAATTTTCAAAATTAATGTTTTCCCTAATTTTTGAAATTAATTTTCAGAATTAATGATGTGTTTTATTCTTTCCAGTAAGGTTTTTCTTCAATAAATTGTAAATGTGTAAATTGTAAACTTGGCCATCCTTAATGTGTTTTGCTTGTTTCTGCTATATACTTGAGAATGAATGCCCTATTGATCATAATTAACAGTTTGAATTTAGTAAAATCCCTTGACTAAATGTGAATATTTTATATGATTTGGATTGTTTGTTTGTATTTTTAATAAAATTAGGGTTCAACTCCTCTCTATATTTGAATGTTTGTTCAATATCTGTTTATTTTATAGGTTTTTCTACTTAGGTTATTCATAAAAAAATAAAATTGATTGCTTACGTCATGATATCAATCGATTCCTTTGCTTCTGTGATCATCCTCCTAATTCTTCTTGGATACCATGCCTGGCTATTTGAGGATCCTTGTACATGCCTGATGCTCTACTCTGCTCTGCTACTGAGTAAATAATCCATGTAACTTCGTGTGCCTAATTTACAGTCATGGAAGACCAATTCTTCCTTTCTTCAATTTTCTCATCAGTCAAGCAGTATTCAATAAAAGAAATACAAGGTATAAGTTTACACTTTCTGGTTTGAGCTTATTGAGTTAGACCATTGAAATCTATACCCATTCAAAAAAAAATTTCATCGTTATTCAGTGGAATTGTCCCATGTCATCATTTAAAGAGCCCAAGAGGATTATTGATTATAGACCAATAAGTTTGTGCTTCTCATTCCCAGATAACATAATGGAGCAATGTTAAAAGAATTTGTGTTGGGAACTTCTATTTTCCAACTTGAGTTTAAGAAAAGCTCGTGTGATCTCTCTAATGTTTTTTTTCTAATAATTACATGAAATTTCTTCAACTAAACTGTATAAAGGTTCTTCACCAAGACATTTTTTGGTTTTTGTTGGTAGAGTTAGACTGTATATTTGTGGTGTTGTAAACTAGGAAAATCTTCAAATGTGTTCTATTTGGCTGCTAAAACAAATATAGATTGAAATTAAATTTATCATCCTTGTACATGCCTGATCCTTGTACATGCCTGGAATGATTGAATAATTTAAAAATAAAAATAAATAACTGAATAATGTGTTGTTCTGTACCCATTCCATGATTTATATGTTTCTTTAGGATAAGTTTGAGAGATTCATTTCAGTTTGAATACAGAGCTTTCTCCAGTCTTTATCTCTGCTCATTTTCTTCTTGGTCTTTCTCTGTCTCCTCTTTTTTCTTTTTTGCCGTTGAAGTGGAATGATGTTGTTTTGAACTACTCCACGGAAATTGCAGAGTGTGGACTCTAGAGGATCCGAACATGTTCTACACAACTGATAAGAACCGAATTCTACAACCACAATGTTATTAGCTAAAGTTAGGTACTTCTCGTGATATTATTTGAGGTGCGCGTAAACTAGTCCAGACATTGGTCATAAAAATATATATATATATATATATATATACGCTTTATTAGGTGATAATGCTAGGCTAGCACTGTAAATGATGTACTGTTTATTTGTCAATACTTTGGATTGTGTTAGAACATTTTCACAAGAAAATAAAGAAGAAAGAAAGAAAGAAAAAAAAAGGAGGGGGGGGAGGGGAGTATATCAACTACAATATATCAGTGATAATTGAACCTTTATTGTTGTGTGCTTCAAGTTCCAACCATATAAGAACCCATGAATGCATGTGAGCTGCACATGGATTTAGTTTGTTAATCTCTGCTTCTATTAGGCATGTTCATAGCCCATCTTCCATTAGGTAATCCATGTCCATGGCACTGCTAGTTCAAGCTGCTTGTTTGTTGCTGCCCGTTTGCCTTGATTTCCTGGATGTGCTAACTGCTGGATGTAGGAAAATAGGTCTTTAGTTGGTCCTTCTACTTATTTTTGGATGTCCTGTCTTTGGTGGGGCTGCTTGGCTACTACTATGGTTGGTTTGGCCTGCTGCTATGAATAAATAACTAGCTGAAACAACCAGTTTAAACAACTTGTTTAAAATAAAGACATAATAAGAACGAAACTAACTGCCTTGGTAAGTTGTTATCAGTTTATCATATATTTATCTTTTCCCACCTTTTAAAAATAGCTCAAGCAGTAATATAGTACTTAATATTTTTTTTTAAATTGCAGTCAACTTTTCTTTTTCTGCTGTGACATGCCCAAGAACTCATTCTATGATATGACAAGAACAGTTCTGTTTCTTTTACAAAATCCAATCTTAATCCTTGCTTCATGATATCTACATTTGTGGAATTTGTATTCAGCTTCGATTCTGGAAAGGGAAATTTTTTTATTTTGTTCTTATTATAAATTCTGTTATTGATTTTTTTTTTAAAAGGAAAATGAAAAAAGAAGATGATTGGAGAGAAGGAGAAAGGATAAGGCTGACATTATTTTATCTGAAAATATGGCTTTACAAAGAGCTAAATGGGGAAGTAAAGTACTCATGTAACCATCCTAATTAGTTGGGTTAAAGTTTGGTTTGTTGAACCACTACATTAACGTAGTCCTGAATATGGATCTTGTGTGTATAGTCCATTAAAAATTCTGGTTTTATTATAATACACTAATACACTAGACTAATATTTGGAAAGTTTTTGAACTATTCTTCATTTTTTCATTACCATTATTGACAAACAGCTGCTTCTACTATTTGATGATTGTTTTCACTGTTTTGTTGATGTTACAATGTGAAAAGTTTATATCAATAGATTAAATGGACAATCCTAGAATCCAGGAAAAGCACCAGCTATCTGTAGTGTATTATGCTGCACTGTCATCTGTTTCTTAGTCCCCAACATAATTCAGATTCAACGAGATGAAGTCCATGTAAACTTACTAGGGATTAGTTTCATGGTTCCTTATTCACCATTCTACTCAATTTACAATCACTTTTGGCATTCATGATTACTAAGGCTTAACTAAAGGCTACACACCGTATCTACCCATCACAGCCCCCTTTTCCTAGATTTTTGAAGCATCAGATTCTAAACTATGACCAGTATATTAAGGACTTCATGTGATGTGATGTGGCAGTATGGTGTCAGTATGGTGTATGGTGTCTTATTCAATGTGATGTGACTATAACCAGTATATTAAGGATGCAAATGGGGGTTATCTATATTTCAATACACTAGCTTGGCCTGTCATTTTATTTTAATTTATTTTTAAATTCAATTTCTTTTTGTTGGAATACCAAATTGCTGTAATTGAAAATCTATTCACAAAATTTGTGATAGAACTCCTCTGACTGTTTGCAGGTGAACAGCATCGTTCCGAATTAGGAATCGTTTTGTTGTCGTATTTTTATTTTAATGAAGGAGGAGGTCTCGTACTTATTCTAGAAACGTAGCATTTCTTAACAATGGATCTAAAATTCCAAGGTAAAAGATGGGTTGGAAACATATTCCAGAAATTTGAGGCTATGTGCCAGGAAGTTGATGATTTTGTGAGCCAGGTATGATTTTCTTATCTCTTACTTGCTTTTTCCTCTGCCTGCTTTTTTTAAATTTGATTTATTTTTTAGATAGGTGAAATATACCTCTTATTGTAATCCTATTATAAAGAGCCTTCACTGTTACTCTGTCTCTTGTCATCTATAACAAACTATAAATTGTCCTTTCTGGTGGTTTCGTGTCATGTAATACAAACTATACGTGTAATCATTTTGTGAACAAGATGGTTATATGTTTTCCTGATTATTCTCTATGTGAGAAACTCCTAATTTGAAAGTGTTCTTTTGTACAGGATACAGTTAAATATGTTGAGAACCAAGTGCATACAGTTGGTGACAGTGTGAAAAAATTTTGTTCTGATGTTGTGCATGATTTAATTCCTTCTTCTTTGGTGGAACCTGGAAACCATGAAGCTCAAGCAGTGTCTCCAAAACAAAATGATAGCATCGGCACCTATGTTAGGTCAACGATTGGTATTGAAGAAAAGGCTGTATACACTGATATTAATCAATTTTCTGTGGAGCAGGATCTGATTGATCCTTTAAAAAACAGTCATGAACAATTTATCCATCCGCCTTCTATGGATTGCATTAAAGAAGCAGAATCTGACTTATCTTTGGGACCAGAAGTCAATAATTTGAAAGATAACAAGTCAGATATTGTTCTTGATGGAAGTGAGACAAAGGAGGAGCTGATAGGTATTGAAGAAAACCCTTTATGTACTGATATTAATCAATTTTTTGTGGAGAAAGATCCAGTTGATCCTTTGAAGAACAGTCCTGAACAATTTATCCATCTACCTTCGGCCGAGTGCATTAAAGAAGTAGAGTCTGACTTTTCTTTGGGACCAAAAGTTGATGCTTTGAAAGATACGAAGTCGTATATTGACTTTGAAGAAAATGACTCAAAGGAGGATCTAATTGATAAAAAGGTCGACATTGTTGAAGAAAATGACACAAGGGATGAAGGAAATGACACGAAGGAGGAGCTGATAGATAAGAAGTCCGACATTGTTGAAGAAAATGACACAAATAAGGAGCTGATAGATATAAAATCTAATGTTATTGAAGAAAATGACACAAAGGAGTTGTCAACTGGGCCAGAAGAGTTGTAGTTAGTTGTTCCTGAGAATAACAATTTGTCTGAATCATCATCGTTAAGTGAGTCCACTGATGAGAGGATTCTGGCTAAAGTTCCAACTGTAACTTTGGTCTTTCATACCCAAAAGGAAGAAATGGCTTGTAATAGTCTTTTAGATGACATTGATTTCGTTTCTGATATTTCCAGCATAGTCCCACCTTCTGAAATGGACTATTCAGTTGTTTCTGGTGATAATAAAACAGCAGATTTGGGTCTTATTTATGCCAGTAGTTCTCTAACTGCTGAAACTTATAGGATGTCAGAATTTTCACATGCAAATGTTACACAAAATGAAGAGAACATATGCTATAAGCCTGTTGATGCTTTCTGGTCTTCTCAACTATTCCCAGTTTTATCTCGTGATAACAAGGTTCTGGATGCAAGACTTGCTTTCTCCAGCAGTGCCCTATCACTGGAATCAAATGGTGTGTGATTCCTGTTTCCTAAATAATGATAAGTTACTTCATTTTCTGCTTCTTCTTGTTCTCTTTTAATTGAATACTTCGTTTTGCAGATGTAGACTCCTTGACAACTGATGATGCTGCTTCTCTTGTTGGATCATCTGAGCATCAATATTGCTATGAGTGTACTCAATTAGAGGCTTTAATGCCTTCATTGAAAATGTTGTTCCAACCCACATGCATGAAAAACATGGGAACCAACCAAGTCAAGCTTGGCAGCCACCAACCATAGCAAGGGTCAAGAATGGAGGCTACCCAAGTCAAGAATGAAGGCTCTCCCACCTACTCCAATATTGCTATGAGTGTACTCAATTAGAGGCTTTAATGCCTTCATTGAAAATTGGTACGTATGTTACGGAGATTTTCACAACGGGGCACTTCTGTTTGTTGTCCTTATTTTTCAGTTACTGTTTTACTTTGCTGACTCAGATTTTTTTTTATACTGCAAGAATATGAAGACAATTTGCTACTTTTGAATTTTTAATTGCTTTAACTATAGTGTTTTTTGGTGCTTCCTGTGTACTGCTATTTTCATATAAAGTGAAAGGCATGAGTTTGTTATCCTATTTAACTCATAATTCGATAAAAGTTCAGTTGTTAATTATACCTTTCTTTTGTACTTCATTGTGCTTTAACCACTGCTCATCTTCACTCATTTGCAGTTTTCATTTAGTACTGGCTCTGCGTCTCCTTTAATTTTTTTTTCGTTTTATGATTCTGCTACCATCATTCTTATTTAACTTACTAGTTGAAGAACAAAAAAAATCAGACAATTGCAAATGGGGGCCAACTGCCAGAGTTTCCATGTGTTTACAAATCTACACTTTAATGATGTCACAAAGCAGTGGATTTCTCCAGAGTGCGAAAAGAATTATGTATGTATACTTACCTTTTGTATGAGGATGATTTCCATTTTTATTGTATCTTTATTCATTTTTTTTTTAAATGACAGGATAATATGATAAAGATCCAAGCTGAACATTGCTCTCAACCTGGTGTGGTTCCAATTACTCCGGAGGAGCTATCTGTGAAGGTGCTCAAGCCAAGGTCGGGATATGTTAAAGGACTTGGGTTGAGGCATTCCTTCTCTGTTAGGACTACCAGTGCTTCAACTGACAGTGACTATGTGAGGCATCTAGAGATGGAAATACAAGAGCAAAAAGAGGAAATTCAGTCACAAAAAAAGAAAATTCAAGCACAAAAAGAGGAAATTCAAGCACAAAATAAAGAGATAGGGAAGATGAATGGGTCGATTGACGAGAATTTTGAGATGACATCAAGCATCATGGAGTTTCTTAAGAAGCAAGGTTTCAAAGGCCAATTTAGAGGAGGAGGTATCCCATGAACTCGTACATCGCCTTTTCAGTAAGCCTCGCTTGTTTTATCTTTTTATTTTTCTTATGTTGGTTAGTATATACTAGTTAAAGTACAGCAGTTTAACTACTTATTAACTAAGATGTAACAAGTTTGAAGATGTATTTAATGAAAATGGATTCATTATCAAAATTCTTACTTAGCGTGACCCCAGTTAAAATACACACTAACCAAAGTAGAGACAAGACTATGTGTTTACTTTTTTGTGTATTTTTGCTAGGCAGTGTTGGAGTTGCTCTAAGTTAGTGATGTGATTAACAATGGGTGTGTCTTTGATTGAGTTTTTCACAGTAAAAGAAATGAAGGAACATTTATTGAGTCTCAGGCAGTGGGTTGGTCAAGTTTGTATATCACTTTATGATTGCTGCTGTTTTGTATATATCATTAGGATGGTTTAGCATAATAAGGACTTTTAACAGATTGATCCATTTGAAGGTTTTCCTTATACTCAACTTAGTGAAGCCATATTTCAACCACTTTGTCCTGGCTAAAGAAGTATTTTCTTGAGATCTTTTGCTTTCTCGCAACTTACATTCATATCTGTTGGTCTATCTCTTGTTCTTGAGGCTTCAACTTCTCCCTCTTAGTGGTGCTGTCCTTGTTATTCAACACAAACATTCAATTCGTGTTAGCCAACCAATCATATATTGTCTTCATTGTGCTCAATTGGACTATATAAGAAGCAAAGGAGGAATATTTAGCAAACTTTATTTTTACCTGGTGTTAGCTTGAGTTGCATATTCTGACACCCACAAAAAGGGAGGTGCATAATTCAAGTCCCTGTTAGGTCCCACTCTATCAAAAAAGAACTAATCTTTGTAATTCAGTTTTTAGGACTTGTTGTTGTCATTTTGCCGTAGATAAATTTATTTGCACCTCATTTGTGTGTGATAGAGTGAAATAAAATGATTCCGTGCTCTGTTCCACCTCGATGTGCTGATTTCCAAACATAACCAAACATTCAAACCACACCACCCAAACCAGCCTTCTCACCCAACTATCACATGGCTTCGCTTCTCATTTATTTAAGGCAGTGTCACTAAATCTTGAATATATATAACCAGCCCATTTCCTTTGCTTTCCACCAAGCACACAGATACAGTATTTCAGTCTTTCGAGAATCATATATTGCCTTTCTAGTCTACCATTAACACAAACATGATCAATTCTAAGAAGCTCATCAAAATGGCGAGGAAGTGGCAAAACTGGCTTCTATCAGTCGAAAAAGAATCACCTTCTCAAGAACAACCGGAGGTGTTGATAATGCAAAGAGTTACAACACATCTACGGTTGATAAGGGTCACTTTGCTGTGTACACAGCTGACCAGAAACGCCTTGTGATTCCCTTGGTTTATCTCAACAATGACATCTTCAGAGTACTCTTGAAAATGGCTGAGGAAGAGTATGGACTTCCAAGGGAGGGGCCTATCACATTACCATGTGATGCAGTCTTCATGGACTATGCAGTCTCTTTGGTAAGAAGGCGCTAAGGATCTGGAGAGAGAGCTGCTCACAACCATAACTAGTGGTTGTTGTTTATCATCCTCTTATCTCCAAGAGGGACTAACCGATCAACAATTACTAGTCTCCAGCTTCTGATGGAATTAGGTTTTTGTTGGGTGAATAAGAAACAATGTCGTTAGCTTTATACAACAAATTAATGAAATCTCCATTGAAATTTCTTCATATTTGGCTCTTGTTCTACTGAAAATTTTACTTATTAGTGTATGTGATAAATGTGTTTGATGATAGCATCACACAGAATTTACTGGGACAGTAGATGGCCCTAGCTAATCTAAAAAACTGCCTCCATTTTGGTCAGTATATTTGGTTCAACTCCATGAATTATCCTTCTATAACTTCCCCGTTATCAACTAAATGACATTTTATTCAAATTCAGGTCTCTAAAAATCAATACATTTTTCTTTCTGCAAGCTAATCCTACACATCACATCTCTTGTTGAATCTATAAGCATTGTTGCAGCCACATCCCATGTAACTTTTTTTAAACTGAAAAAAAAAAAAAAAAAAATTGTAAAAGGAGGTGATTGCTTGGTGTAATATTAAAATTTCAGGCTGTGATATGCCTCAAATGTACCTCAATCCTACGTTATATTTTGGAGCTATTATATATATATATATATATATATATATGTATATATTCTGCCATTACTGATAGTGATATATGGTATTCTTGCAATCTTTCAACATCTTATGTTATTTGTGTTGCTTTATTATCAAGGATCACATCAACTCTTTGAAGTTTTGATTTGTTAGATGCATTTCTACTAAATTGGTTTATAAAATAAAATTATTTATATATGAGTTTAGATGTAATTGATAATATATTAATATTTTCTTTGCTTATTTTCTTTGCAGATTGGTTTTTGATGACGTTTGGAAGTATACTTGCAAATGAAGATCAACTGTTGAATTTTGTTTCTTGGACTGATACTTAGTTGTAGTTGCAAATCAAGATTGAGTGTTGATTTTTTTTGTGGATTCCACGTTAGTTCATTTTGGGAATTGCTTTGATAGTTTTTTTGTTATACTTAATGGTTTATATTATTAAAGTTGTTTGATGGATATATTCTGATTTATAAAATAAATTGTTTACTGAATTTTTGTGTGGAGTGATGTATAATAGCTAGTGAATTTCTTAGTACAATTAAAAGGCTATTGGGATCTAAGCAGGGATATTTGTGAAATAATAATTGAAATTGAAATATAAAATATGGAACAGGTTTAGTGACGAATTTGTTTCGTCATTTGTACTTGTTATTATGACAAAGTGATTATTCGTCGTTAATAAACATTTTTTGTGACAAAATTTATTGCAGCGCATATATGAAAGTTTTCATTGATTTTGTTGTTTGGTGACGAAATATATTTCGTCATGTATATATATATATATATATTTACTACAAAATATATTTCATCACATATATAAATATATTTGTGACGAAATATATTTCGTCACCCATGTATGACTTTTGGAGACGAAAAATTTCGTCACCTTCACATCTTACTGTGATGAAATTATTTCCTCATCAATGATCAACATTTGTGATAAATTTATTCGTCAACTAAAATTATAAATATGGTATTGAATAATTATTTAGTGACGAAAATGATAATTTTTTGTGACAAAATATTGTTTTATTCGTGACAAAAAATTTCATCACTGAACGAAATTCATTGGTGACGAAATTATTTTTCGTCATGGTGGTTTTTAGTGACAAACATTCAATGATGAAACTGGTGACGAAAATATTTCCTCACAAATATCTATAGTGACGAAATTACCTCTTTCGAGACGAAAAAATTTCTTCATTCAAGACCCAACTTGTTGTAGTGAGTGTGTTTGTGTAATGCAAAAGGAACTTTGCAAGGCTACAGGCCTTTGACATTTCCACAAAAACCTTTGTTCCCTTGCAGTGCTTCTATTGATGCATTCATGAAGGCGTTGCTCATGGGAATAGGACCTTGCAACTGATTGTATGATATATCAATAAATGCCAAGCCCTGCATATCTTCAAAACCCTTTGGAATGAGACCAGAGAGATTATTTTGGGAGAGGTTTAAATTCTCCAAACTCTGCAAATTTGTGATTTCCAATGGTATTTCCCCTGTGAGATTTTTAACCTCAAAAGTCGTATAAAAATACAAAATGCAAATAGTATTTTAAATAGATAACTATAATAAAAAAATAAAAAAAATAAAAAGACTAATAAAACAAACGTGGAAAAAAATGGTGACCAAACAATCAGCACAAAGTTAATATATATACTTGTGGACTACAATCACCAATAAAAAGTATTATACCTTCTAATATATATACTTGTGGACTACAATCACCAATAAAAATGTATTATACCTTCTAATAGCATCACTAAGGCCTCGTTTATTTTAGTAATTTTTTTATTTTTTACGAAAAGATGTACAGAAAAGTAAAGAGAGTGATGCTACAACTTATAGTAACTTTTTTGACTTTTTGGCTAAAACATGTAATTACCAAACGAGGCCTAAGAGGAATGAAAATTTAATGTTTACCCACTTATTAATATCCAGAACTACTGATATGAGTAATTTAATGTGGTTACATAAATTTGTATCAAATCGTGTCCATACCCTACTTTTTTTACGGGTATGAGTACTGGTACTAACAAACCTTTATCGTACTAGTACCAATACTCATACCTGTACATGTGCTTCATAGGTCTTAAATTATCTCCAGTAGATCTTCGAGAAACTTATTGAGCCAAAAATTTCTTGGTTACTTTATGTGTGTGCGGGCATGCAATTGTAACTAGTTTATTCCCCAAATTAATTTTAATAGAGTTGATCGACTAATAGTAATTTTAAAATTGAGTGAGACAAAAAATTTAAAATTCAATTATTGTTTAAAGAATAGTCAACAATTTTTTTTTTAAATTTAAAATTTTCATTTTTGAGATTAAAAATTATTAATTAAATATTAAACATTTTTTTTAATATTTGGGGGGCTAATTGATTTTTAAGATATAGTTTTGGAGTAAAATGAAGTTCCAAATGAAATTTGGTACCACGTTAGCAAGTCACATTTGATTATAGACGGAATGTAACGGTAGGAGCCAAATTGATCAAAATTTCAAAAGTTTTGGGAATAAATTGATATTATACGAAGTCTGAGGTCAAATTGAAAACTGCGTGAAAATTTAGAATAACAAATGATATTTCTTCTATAATTTATGGGTGCTTATAATGTTTTTTTTATTCTATTTTGGGAGTTTGTACTTAATGTTCACTACAACTTTTGTTTTCATTTCGAGGCACTGGGCCTATAAGTCTAAATTTAAAATTTTTGAGATAATTGTCACAAATTTTATTCTTTTTTTGTCTATAAAAAGAATAATAATTTATTTATTTGTTTATTTGTTCACTTGTTTGTTCGCGGTTGCCACTGATGACTTTTTCAACATCAGCAAATTGGCGACTTTCTGACACTGGTAGTGATAATGGGAGGCGATTGATATTAATATGTGAGAATAGAGAAAAAAATAAAAATATAATAAA